TGTTCTACCCTCACATTTTTGTGTCCTTCTTGGTTCAAGTTTGGCAGATGCATTAGATATTAAATATTTTAACAATCTAATAGAGATATAGTGTTCTATCACAGCACTCTACTCCATTGCATTGCAGCCAGGAAACTAATCCATGGCATGCTTTATCTTTAAACAACTATCAATGACAGCTTGGGAAAAAAAAATCTGATATTTTTTTTTTTTTGCTGCTTTTCTCAAAATTATACTTGCTCCCAGCTTTCAGTTTCAAAGTACAAAACAAGCAGATAATCTGTCAGATAAAACATTTTTTTCCCCAGATGGGAGTTAAAACAATTAACCTGAAGCAGCTATAAAAAATAACAAAATGCCACAGRATCCAAAGGAGACAAGGGCTTCTGTAACCAGGGGAGTGGACAGCCATAAAAGCAGTACCCCAGGACATTGTAAACAACTGAATAAACTAAAATTATAATAACAAAAATTGCAAAAGAAAAAGGTGTCTCCTAAATTGGAAATATCAGCCTGTTCACACACTTACACATGGCTGCTGATCATTCTTTACACTAAAGGGCWAGATAGATTCAATGGCAGTCAAAGCAGCACAAAAATACGTAGCACATCAATCAATGGGTTTTAGAAAAAAATATTTGTGACAGGGATTATAAATATAGGCATATTGGTGATTAAACTAAATTAAATGGAATTTGTTTTAGCAGTTTTGCAAAATAGTTTTCCATCAACTTGTCCCATAGCTGTGCCTAGAATCACATCAGAGTGGTCACTTTACAGCTATGTGCTCCTGTATTCAGCACCTACTAGAGCAAAAATGTAACAACAATTTAATGTGCTTAGAAAAAAGATATGGACAGAGATTTAATGCACAGGCTATGGCACCAAATCTCAAACATAACATTTCTTTTTTTAAAAAATACAAAAAAACCCTGTTTCTTCTTCTTCAAATACGGAAAAAATATTCAAAGGTGTCTTCCTGATCGAAGTCTGAACCATGCCAATTCCAATAACAGTAGGCCCTCAACTGTCCATATAGAGAATGATATAGGCATGCTTATGCACAGGAATGCTTTTTTCCTGTGTTTTTCATTTTCTCCCTTGTGGCAACATATTCTACACCTTGCCCCCTCCTACTTCTATCATTATCAGGCACACTACAGTGCTGGGTTATCTGCTATTATAGATGAMCCAAGAGACACTAAAACATTTAAAGAGCAATCATGGCAGAAAAGCACAGTAAAAGAAAGGAAAAGTGGCACAGATCTTTTATGCTTTTATGCCTTCACTGGTGTTTCACTCTGCAAACAAGAGAATGGCCACTCCCAGGTCATCACAYATTCATACTACCTGCTTATCAACGGCATAAAAAATATGTGCTTTCTTACATGGAATTAGGGGTGCATTAYTTAATCTACTTAAATTCAATGAGTAAACTGAGATATGCCTGAATGTGACATACTAGGGAAACACTATCTTCCATTAAACTTTTTTTTAAGTTATTTTAATGGCATTGCAAGGATGAGCATTCATTATCGCTCCCATAATTATTTTGTAGTTTGGCTTGTGTAAACCATAACAGAGAAGGGAKTACAAAGAAACTAACATCTTACTCTTCAAGGTGCTAATTAAACAGCCAGTTCTCTTCATGTACTGCACTGCTTTTGCCCCTATTCTGTGCATGTTTTTGAGAAATCAGTCACCTTCCTTGCTAATCTATCTGTGATAGCTGTTTGAGTATCTACATTGCAACACCTTTGCAACCAAATTTAGCAGTTCTAATTTTGTTACACTGATTTTTTTTTGTTATTTTCCATCAAAGCTGTTCTAGAAATCAGCATGCAAATTGAAGAATAAATCAAGAGAGATTTTGCTCCCCCCTGCAAAATAAAACATATTTTGAGTGGAGAAATCACCAAAAGGAGGATTTTCTCAATATAGCTTRATTTCTCTTTATTCATTTTTTTCACCCTATAGATAGGAAAGATAAAATGTTTTCCARATGAAGAGTCAGAGGCTTATAGTGTTTCACAGAATTCTTACAAATTATTTTTTAAAACAGTTTTTTTCTGTTAGGTGAAGAGAACAAAACTCAAAACTCTTTGACAGTGATGGTGCCATAATAAAAGAGATAGACTCTTATTATCAGAACAGATTATCATCAACACTTCACATTTGCAATAGTTTCATTAAAAGGAGGAAGAATTCCATTGCAATGTAAGAATATAGATTTATCTAAAATACTGTGTAATAAAATGACAGTAATCTTTTGTTTTATTGTCTTATGTCTTTTGTCTTATTGTTTTGTTTATATTTAAGTCCTGAAATTGTCACAAAACATCCAAATCTTGAAATCATGTTGCAATTTCACTCAATTATTCAAGGCTTTTCTATACAAAGAACTTGACCAGAACAGCTATCACAAAATAAGATAGCTATTCTTGACTGGCATTTTTTRTGCAGATGTTAATTATAGACTATTTTTACKATTCTAAAAAGGTCTATGGAAAGTTCTACAAGAATAACAGTTAAACTGAGAATCTCAAATAAAATCTTCCATGTTGGGCTCTATGTGCTATTTAATGAAAATACTTCCACTACATTTAACTTTAGAAGATTAAAAATATGGATAGCAGTCTTGTGCTCTTCTAATAAAGTCCTTAACAGAACTTTTAAGAATACCATTATTCAGCAAAGTACATAGAGAAAAAGTGTGTGTATTCAATGAACTATATGCATTACAACCAGCTTTCCAATAATTCTATATGTCCATTCAGAACACTGACATTTAATGGCTGGTTTCCTGCAGTTGTATAAAGCAAGTGGAGAAACCATTATCAGGTCATTGCGGAAATAAAAGAAGGAAATGGAAAGAAAATATGAACCGTATTAGAAAAAGTCAGAGAAAYGTGGGGAAAACAATCATGTGCACTAGGAATTTGTTTCCCATGCAAGAGAAATGAAAGAGTGAACAGAAAAAAAAGAACTTTATTCTGACCTCCTGCTTGTATAAAACCTTTGCATTTAAATGGATTTACTATGGTATAAGAGCTGTGTTAATGAATCACAGAATCACAGAACACTTTAGGTTGGAAGGCACCTTAAAGTCCATTTCATTCCACCCCCTGCCATGGGCAAGGACACCTTTCACTAGACCAGGCTGCTCAGAGCCCCATCCAACCTGGCCTTGAACTTCCAGCGATGAAGCAGCCACAGCTGCTCTGGGCAACCCATGCCATCACGCTCACTGCAAAGAATTTCTTCCATATGTGTAACCTAAATTTCTCATCTTTCAGGTTGAACCCATTACTCCTTGTCCTGTCACTACATTTTCTGGTGAAGAGTCCCTCTTCTGCCTCTCTTCAGATACTGGAAAGCTGCTGWGAGSTCTCMATGCAACTTTCTCTTTTCCAGGTTGAACAKCCCCCGTTCTCTCAGCCTTTCCTCCCAGCAGAGCTGYTCCATCCCTCTGATCCYCTGGGTGCCTCCTCTGGGCTGGCTGCAGCAGCTCCATGTCCTTGCTGTGCTGGGAGCCCAGGGCTGGATGCAGCACTGCAGGTGGGGTCTGAGCAGAGCGGGGCAGAGGGGCAGAATCCCCTCCCTGCCCTGCTGCCCACGGGGCTGTGGSTGAGCCCAGCACACGGGGGGCTCTGGGCTCTCAGCATACAAGGCTGGGGCATGCTGAGTTTTTCATCAACCATCAGTATTAATAACATCCGATCACCTGTCCTTTAATTGAATTTCATACTGCCATTTCTTAACATTCCCCATGTCTCTACCTTTTCCACCAGGCKCTTGTCATGTATTTAAATGTTATATCAAGACAACATTTCTGTCACTATCTGACTTTAAATACTAAAGCAGTCCTACTGAAATCAATGAACCTTTGTACATGCCTAAGGCTATGATGTAATGGGACACACTGTTTTCAGTGGGATAGTTTTGATTTTATTTATTGCATGTCACCATACTAGTAATATATACTGGACATATATATATATATATATATATACACATATATATATATATGAAGATATTTTTAAGAAATATTATTTGTATTCTGTATACATTTTTCATGAAAAACAAACTAAGAAGATTTTGGCATGAAGAGCATCATGGCATCCTATTTCTTTGCTCTCCATTAAAACAGCTGTTATTTATTTATAAATGATCTTTCCTCATTTTGCTGCCCTCTAACAAAATACAGCCGACATTGCTGTTCTGATTACCAAAAAAACATCAAACTTGTGATACTTTTCTTGTAATAGAACTCCTTTACATCAGTGGTAATGTATTTTTAAGATATGACTGGAAACTACTCAGATGCACTATTAACTGTCATGATGAGTAATTTTCCTTGATTCATAAATTTAAAGAGCCATTACACTTCCTGCATATTTAACCAAAAATCTCCCTGTCTGGTATAAAATAATAATAGAAAAGATTTTGAAGGTCACCGTGCGACCCACCTCCTGCTGTAGGTGGGGTTCTGTCCAGYCCAACTGTACAGATAGACACAAGGAGTCACTGTGACTTCTTTCAGCTTAAAACAGCGCCTCGCCCTCACATCGCTTTTTTGTTAGCCGGAATATCCAAATGTTAGTTCCGTGATTTCACCCCGCTATCCCTACTTGCACCTGAGTGCGTTTGCTGAGGGAAACGCACCAACAGGGACAACGCTCTKTTTTGAGAAGTTTCAGATATTCTTAACGAAAAGTTTATTCTGTTGCAACAAATGTCCTTGAGCTTATGAAGACAGTTTAAAAATAAAACAAATAACAAAACGAAGATAAGAGCTGCTGGAYACAACCCAACACAGCCCCCGGGATGCGTGGGGGCATTGCGGGGGTGGTGGAGGAGAAGGGAGTGGAAAGGATGCTCCCGGAGCCGCTGCCGCCGCGGCTCCCCGCTCTCGGACGAGCGGGCGRGTGGCCAGGGCACACCCCTGCGTCCAGCCCCGGCTCCTGCGCTCCGAGCGGGGAGGCGCCTCCTCGGACACGTTAAAAGTTTGGGGCGGCTCCGGGTTCGGAGGAGGCAGGCTACGGGTGGCTGCGCCTCGGTTGCCGCAATAGCTCCGCGGGCGCTGAGCCCCCGGCCCACCGGGCACCGCCCCGCGCCGCCRCCGCCGCCAGAAGATGGCGAGCCGCCGCCTTCGCCTGCTCCTTCTTGTTTACGTGGGGGTCCTGAGCTGTAAGTGGCCGCGTCCGTGTCCCGCGGGGCTGTCGCGATCCGCCGCCTCGGGGTGCGCCCCGGGCTCCCGCCCCGCTTCGGCGCTGGGCTGCGAGGGGACGCTTCCCCCGAAGTATCTGAGTGTATGTTGAAGGGAAAGGCTTCTGGAGGTGTCGCTTCCTCTCCCTCAGCCCGGAGTCAGAGGAGCCAAGTCGCGTCTCCAAGAGCGAAACGCGAKCGAGAGCGTCCCCCGCCGCGGCCGTGGCGGAGCGCGCTGATTTTTTCCAGATTTTTTCCATGTGTCTCTTGCTTCGCGCAGATGTAACCTCTTTAACGCCGATCTAGTTGAATGCATGTCAGCAACTGTCTGTCGCCGTGAAAACTTTAGGATGTGGGCTGCGTATTTTACTTTCCTGATGGCCTTTACAAGGTGAATGAACAAGGGTTTGGAGTGCGTTTTCTGTTGCCAGCACTGGATTGCTGCAGCTACAGAACAGACTTGTGTGTCCAGTATTTTTATGGTTCTAAATCCTTGAAAATGAAAGGGTACGGTTAGAATAAGTTGGACAAAGGTTTCCCAGCCAGAAAACACGTGTAAATAATAGAAAAATACAGATCGTGGGGCCACATGCTTGCAGAAAACCAGAGAATTAACACCGTTTTTGTAGTGGTAGTCGTGACAAGACTCTCACTTTCAGATCACGTCTGATAGTGCTCTTGTTCTATGCCTCTGGTGTCTTACTGGTGTTTTGAGAAAAGGGCTGTACATGGAAACAGTGTTTTGAAAATAATTATGTGGCACAGTCTTRCAATGAAATGACCACCTGGGACTAGCCCAGGATATGTTCTTAATCCACTATAGATGTAGAACATCCATGGTACTGAAGCTGGGTATATTTTGAGGTTTRCTTTTCATTCCTCCTCACTTAAGAGAACCCTGTGTGTGTGTAAACTTTTTTTTGCAGTCCTGCAGTGGAGAGATTTGAAGTGATGCATATCTGAAGTGATAAGCCTTCGGCTTGGTGGAAATTTTTTCTTTTCCTCTTTTTTTGCTCCTACAAGACCTTATAGAAATGCTGGGCTATTAGATGAACACCAGGTGCAGAAATTCTCTTTTATGCAGTAAATAGTAATAAAAAAAACTTTTCTCTTTTTTTTTTTAAACTTCTTGATTGCATGATATATCTGAGCATGTGAGGCTGCTGTGGGTTTTTTGGTGGCAAGTTTCAGTGTGTTCAGGCTGCTCAGCCTTCTGGTTAGTTGTGTCTGTTGGCAGTGCTGGCTTTGACTGCTAAGGAAATGGGAGGGTGCAGTACAGTGCATCAAAGTCTGATTGTTATGAAACTTGGGGGTTTCTTGTTTTTTTGTTTTTTTTTCCTCTGCCTGTCCCAATTCCAAGGAAACACCAGGTGGGAAGCAAGTTTACAAGCAAGCTGCTGATAAGAAGTCTTTTCATGAAGAAAGTGACTGTAGGTGTGTGGGTATGCAAATGCTTATTGTTTGTGGGAGCCAGGCAGWAATCCAGGCAACAAGGAGTCTGCCACTGCTCCTATGGCTGGAGTGTGTTCCCATGAACAAAAAGGTTGAGTAATTCTGCTGTCCAAGTCACACATACAGGCTGAGCAGTCTCTTAAGTGGGAACCATGTGCTGTGGAAATGGTGGGAATGAGCAGAARCTAGTGAGGAAAAGAAAGTAGTGGTTAATACCCCACAAGGAGCATGGAGGTTGGCCTCTTCTCCCAGACAAACCAACAACATGGCAAGAGGACACAGCCTCAGGCTGAGTCAGGGGAGGTTCAGGTTGTGTATTAGAAAGAACATGGAAAGGGTTGTAAAGMATTGGAAAAGGCTCTCAGGGAGGTAGTAGAGTCACCAGCCCTGGAGGTGCTCAAGAAACGACTGGATGTGGTACTCTGTKCCCTGGTCTAGTTGAAAASGTGGTGATKGGTCAAAGGTTGGACTCAATGCTSTTGAAGGTCTTCTCCAATCTAAATGATTCTGCAATTCTGTGGTTATATTGTGGAGCAGTTGTAGAGCACATTCTTGGTAATTGAGCTGCAGAAATGAAAAGCTATGTAAGTTGGTCACAGGATATCAGCATAGGTGCATGAGGTTTGGATCACTTTTCATTGAGAACCTGCTAAGAAATATGACCCACAGAAATCACAGCTTTTGTGAGCTAGCTTCCCTTTCACCTTTAATTTAGGGGAAAGTAAGGGAACTGGGGTCCTCAGTTATGTTATCTCTCAGCATACGCTTCTGAAACTGATACCTGAAAGTTTTGAAAGGTGCCACAGCATAAGACTTGTGAGCTCTGTTGGAAAGACAGAATATGTACAGAAATTATTGTTATTAACCATTATGGCTTCTCAGGAGGAGATGTATGACTAAGTATGTACCGACCAAGTGGCCTTTCTGTGAAGCATCTAGGTGTGATTTTTCTTAACATTGGTGCAACATTGAAATTAAACTTCAGCTGGTGATGCTGGAAGCAAATCCAGTACAATGTGTCTGTGTGAGGACAATGCAGAGGCAATAAATAGTAGTTGTACATAAATATTTGATGGAGCTCACTGGGGTAGTTTGAGCAATAAGTCAGGCGATATTTTGTTTATTTTGGCTTTAAAAAGCCCCTCTTCTTACTCCTCAGAAATCTCTCTCATACAGAGTTTTTTGGACCAAAAATGCCTTTTGTTTCTTTCCCCCCATAACCCTGACAAGAAATCATAAAGTATTACTGCATTGCTGTATGAATTAAGAGTGGGAGTGTTTAARATATGCATTCTAGGCTATATATGATATACAACTGATGTACTCAAATTTGAGACTTGTCAACCCTCAGCCCTTTGCTGAACCCTCTGTTTGCTCGACCAGCTTGGTAGAAACTGATTTCTAAATGAGGCCGTATTCTAGTGACATGGGATTTCTTAAATTTGTAAGACTTGCATATTTCTCTAGTAATATCTGTTCAACATAATGCCATAAAGCAGACTGCCTGGTTTTGGAGAGGGAGTGGGGGAAGAGGCATCAATTGAATGTGCATTCTCTTACTGGTTTAGATGAGAAGTTTCTTTGCTATAGGTTGCTCAAGGTTYAGAAACATGCACAGACACTGCAACATAAGCTGTAAGAGGAGAATAAACTGCTAATATATGAACAGATAAATGAAAACTAAGTACAAAAAAGCAATGTTTGTTTCTACTCTTCAGCCTAACGTTTTTCATTTATGACTGTGGTGCAGTGCACAAGATACCCAGACACTTCTAACATGGATACAAATTGATGTKGTAAGAAGACTGTCTTTCTGTCTTTAAGAGGGAGATATGCTACTCTCTAGCTTATTTTATAACCTTAACAATTTCACCCTCTTGCTTAGATCCTCAGGGCTGAGAAGACACTTGCTGTGAGTTACTGGCACATCTCACAGGAATCATGGCTTTTGCTGCATTTCAGCAAGTCATGCTGTTTTCCTTAAACCCAGGCATACTGCTTGAGAGAGGCTYTGTACTCCTGAGAGGACTCAGCCAGAAGCATTGCTATTCTGTCTCCTGTCTTCCTCCAGCAGAGAGGAGGCAGAGAGAGCTCATGGCTCGGCTCATGGTATCATTCTTTTAGGCTGGTGGCCCCACAGCCTACTACTGGATGTGCAAAAGGGCAAATGAGGATGGCTGTCTTCCCTCRCTGCATACAGGAGACAAGAAACATGCCTGGAAACGTTTCATCAAGACAGTCACAATTCCTCATTTCCTTTTTAAGATGGATTTATACTTTTGTTGTTGCGTGGCCTCTGAGGTCCTGTCTTCTCAGCTTTAAAGTTGCAACAATTCTCTGTTCATGTTGTAGGTACGTATTTCTGGTATTTGGGGCATCTGGCATTAATAATGAGAGATAAAGCTACCACTGTAATTAGAAGATCTAATTGAGCCTGGATGAGGTCTTTCCATTGGCTATTTAACTGAATTACACAAAGATATTTTTGTGACTGTTTCCTGTATTACACCTATAATTCTTGCTGAAGCCTGTTTTGGTAGCTGCCAGCTTCTGCTTCAAAATTATTTGGTGAGAATACAGAAGTGGTTGAACTTGGACATCACCTTTTCTGTTCAGCTGATTGATTTAACAAAAACCCTGGTTTCATCTTTCATGACCTAGAGCTACCAAACTTGTCTGTGTTCACTGACTAACTCCAAACGTTATTTGGGGTGTATGCAGACCTGTTCTTAAAGAAGTGAACTAAAAATATTAGAGCAAGCACGTACCCTTACTCAAAGACTGTCCCAGGTATTTTAATTAGTTTATTCTCAAGTGGTGGTGGTGGTCACTACGAAGAAGTCCTCTTTGGAAGTATGGGAGAATCTTATTGTACAACTGATATTAAGAAAATTCAGTTTCCTCATAAATTCACATGAGTAAATCATAGCAGTATTTCTTCACTGAAGAAGAAAGTAACGTATGCGAACCTTCTGCAGTAGCAGTAAGCAAGCTTCTTTTTTTTTGAGGGGGAGTAGATGGGGGTGAGTGGTGCTTTTGGRGGGTCAGGAACAACTAGTAATTTAGTTTTGAAATTGGGATGTAAAAGCTTACATCTGGTATGATCTTCTTAGAGTCCATCAACACTCACAATGTAATCTTTCTGTTGGATACTGGCTCCCTGCACCTGGTCATCCCTTTCAGGAACACGTTTCTTAAGCTAAGTCTTAGTGTCATASTTTCCCTTAGCACTTCTAGAGGTGACTCCAGTGCAAATGCTTATGTAAAGGAAAGTTACTAAGAAATGTGCACACAGCCAAAAATGTCCACATTGCAATATAAATATCTTGTATATAAGAGCAGTTGAAGCACAAGGTGGTATTTGTCCTTGTAGACCGCTTGCCAGGGCCATATGGAATGGCTGAATTCCCTTGAAATTCCCTTGAAGTTATATAATGATATCAAGCAAAACAAACTTTGCATGAAATAGTGTGGATGTATACAATGAGCTGTCTTTTTGCTGGTTTTTCTTGTTTTGCTGGGKTTTTTTT